CTACTAATCGCATGCATCAGGACACCTATCGTACATGAGACGATCCATGTTTGGCATGTTCCACACCACGATAAAGGGTCAAAGCAGGCAGAACGTGTCAAGTGGTGGAAGCAGCTTTGGCAACTCAGCCAGAAGTGGCCGCCTACCATTGTTCTCGCAGATGCAAATGCAACGTTTTCGAGCATACCCTCCCCAGGAATAGGGGGACTGGTACACAGACGCGAGGACATGGACGATGACAACGCCGAACGCATCAGGGAGTTTGCCAACATTTACAGAGTGCATTTACTGAATACTATCATTGAACACGAAGAGAAAGCCACATACACTTCAGACGGAGGTCGGCAGAAGCGTATCGACTATATCGCCACGAGCAAGCAGTACCTACAAGGAACAACCAGCATTGAAACACTGCAGGACTTCGACACTGGCACCATCGCCAAGGATCACGTACCTGTCGTAGCCAGAACGAGCCTATTGGTGGAACCACGAAGAAGCTCTACGAACCAGAGAACGATTGACAAGGCGAAGTTACAAGATCGTCAACGACAAAAGATTTTCTGCGACCATCTGAGTACTCTTCCACTGCACAGGTGGGAAACTGACGCAAACAAGCAAATGGATGACATAAATTGTGCAGTTGTCAGTATCGCAGGAGCTATCTTCAAGCCAGATATACTCACACCAAGGCAGCCATACATTACACGGACTACCATGAAGTTGGTCAGGTACCGCAGGTACGTCACACGGGCGTTGAGGATCGCCACGACCACGTCTGACACTACAGCCTGGGACAACTTGAAGAAGTACTCGGCAACAGATGGACTAACCAAGGCCATCGAGCAAGATGCCTGGTTTAAAGAAGCCAGACAGATGTACATGATCCTGGAACTGTACGACGATGACAGTGGAGGGGAGCTCTCAACAGGAGCCCGCTTATTCCTAGCACACACCAAGCCAATACTGACCAAGCTGCTACGACATGATCGAGCAGCACACTTAGAAAAAATAGCCAAGGAACTACAAGGAAGCATCGCCAACCACGACGGCAAGCAGGAAGGAGCAGCAACAAGGGCGCTACTCCGATATGGCGGAAGGATACCATCACGAAGTTCGAGACGGTCACCAGCAGGAGGCCCAGCGCCATACAACGAGGATGATGACGGGAAGGTGCTCGACAATGATGAGGAAGTTGCTCGCAGTCGACTGGTTCACTTTGCCAAGCAGGAGGACGCGACACTGCTCAGCACCAGAGAAGTAAAAGACCGCTACAATACTGAGGTCAACACCGCAGCGATGCATACTGAGCTTGAATTGGAACAAATTCCGCCACTTCCATGGTTGCAGCACAGTTTCAGCAATGGAAAGTGGGCTACAGCACCAGGCACGGACGGCGTCAGTGCTGGGATCCTGAAGGCTGGTGCTGGACCACTGGCCAGACTATACCATCCAATAATGTGCAAAGCGGGGCTACTACTGCAGGAGCCACTTTTATTCAAGCATGGCATAGGCATCAGCCTGGCCAAGTCAGCGGAGAAGGCGGCATGGAACGAGTATTACAGACTGATCCTCCTCAACAGTGAAGTGTCCAAGCACTACCACAAGTACCTCCGCAAAAGCTTGGCAAGCATGGTCAACATCATGATGCGGGACACCCAGACTGGAGGAAGAGCCAAACGATCGACGGCCATGGCGGGACATACGGTTACTACCTTCCTGCACCTCCTCAAGCAAGACAAAAAATCAGGATTCGTGTATTTCATCGACTTGCGAGCAGCCTTTCACAGAGTTATACGGCAGCTGGGTATAGACACAAAAGCATACGACCCTGAGCAGCAAGACGTAACGTACATCATGCAGAAGTGCAACATCCCAGACGCCTTGAAGCCGCTCACAAACTTGGCACTGGAGGCACCGGTATTGATGCAACACCTCGAGGATCGACCACACCTAGCACAACAACTCGTGGAGACGCATCGGCTGACGCACTTCGGCATGGCCGACACCGAGGAAGTGGCAGTATCGAGGCGAAGCACGAGACCTGGCAACTCACTGGCAGACTACCTGTTCAACGTTATCTTCACGAAGCCCCTGGATTACGCCTCAGAAGCCCTCAAGGATCAAGGATTATATTACGAGGTTCCAGAAAGAGACAGCAGACACCCGAGCCTTTCCAAACACAGGACAGCTCAAAGGATATTGACTGACGTATCGTTTGTCGATGACGCATTGTTTGTGGTACAGGCACCAAACGATACTATGCTAACGGCAATGCGGAAGACAGCGGACACGGTCCACGGAGCCATGCTACTCTACGGTTTCGAGGTCAACTACAAGCGCACCAAGACAGCCATTGTGCCATCCATCAGAGGCCCTGGCTCGGGACTAACGAAGAAGCAAGTGTTTGGCAAGTCCCCAGCCACCATCAACTCCAGAAGATACGGACTAGAGGTACATGTCGAAGTATGCTACAAGCATTTAGGTACGATCATCGACAAGGATGGCTCAGTAGGCACCCAGGTTGCCAGGAACTTGAATAGGCACCGTGACGCAGCTGGACCAGTACGGAAGTCAATCAACAAGCTACTGCAACTCAGCAGTGATGCAAAAGTCAAGATAGCCGACACCCACATCAACGTCCACCTGGGATACCACACCGAGACCTGGGCAGACGTCAGCAACACCAAGATGAAAGCGCTCGAAGCAGCATATCAAAAGACATACCGATCGGCACTACGGCTACACCTCCCCGATGAAGATGGACAGCGACAAAGTACATGCAAAGTACTATATGAAGCAAAAAAGCCACCGTTTCAAGCAGGAATACGACTTCGGCGACTCAGGTATCTGGTGTCGCTACTGGTGAACGGCCCTACGATACTGCTGGAGATGCTGGATCGTACGTGGGAGTCTGAGAACGACGAGAGTGGATGGGCGGCACAGCTCAAACTGGACTTTGCTTGGATCGCAACACACATGAACGCAGGCCCAGACGATCCTATACTACACAGGACTTTGCAGGCATGGATAGACAGAATAGTGGGCGACCCTGCTGCGTTCAGGAGACTGCTCAAGCAAGCGTGGGACAGATTTCGAGCACAGCAACATGACGAACATCATCGACAAGTATGGCAGCAGGCACTGGCACGGCTTCACGGACAAGAGCCCCAAGTTGAAGACCAAGTCGGAGATAATCAACACAAAGTATTTTGCTACATATGTGGAAAAGAATACGACAATATTGCCACCGTCACTGGCCACATCCATCGAGATCACCATATTATTGACACGGCACAACGTTATGCGGCTGGTACCTATTGCCACGCATGCAAAAGTGAACACCATACGCGACCACGACTACTAGTGCACCTACGTCGAGTGGCGGAATGCCTTCAGCAGCTCAAGAGCACAATGGAACCGATGCCCGACGAAGAGGTCCACAAACGCCAAGAGCAAGACAGAGCAACGATTGCAGCACTCAAACAGCAAGGCTATGGTGCATCCAAGGCAATTCAACCTGTCAGACGGGACGCCCCACAACGGAGAAAAGCACAGCGTCCTCAGCAAGAAGAAGGATACGGACAACAAGCCTCAGACGAGGAGGTACCACAGCCACAGCAGCCACCACTACAAGCTCATGAACATGTTCCTGGACAGGCTCCTATGCTCCCACAAGCTCGACAAGGCTACGACTACCCAGAGGCAACGAGCGCCGACGGGTTAGAAGAAGAGGAGGCAGCTAGGCGAATGGCACCGACACACCTGCCCACGTGCAAGTATGTACTTCACTTATCCTCAAGCCGAAGGAGACCAGGGGACCTACAGGACTGGATAGAGCAGCAGCAGGACTTCAATTGTGTGGTACTACAAGTCGACGTTGATGCAGAGGCTGGCGACCTCACTTACTGGTATAATACTCTCAAATTTGCAAGAATGATTGCCCAAGGACACATTTTGGGCGTCTTGGCGGAACCACCAAGCGAGACCTGGCGTGGCACCAAGCACCAACATGCAGGACATGAAGGACCCCCTCCAGTACGTTCGGCACAATACCTTTGGGGTCTGCCAAACAATGAGATGAGATACCGACGCAAGCTTATGATGGACAATATACGGATGAGAGCATCGATATTCTTGGCGGCGGCCTGTGCAAGACACTATATCCCCATGCTGATGATACATCCGAGGAGGAACTGGCAGCCGCAATCCCCATCGTGCTGGAGCATACCAGAGCTACGAATGATCCTGAGGCTACCCAATGTACGCACAATCACAATTGACCAATGTATGATGGGACACACAACAAAGAGGCCCACTACGATTCTTCAGATATCATGCAGCAGGTTCAGCACCGTGATCACCGAGAACTACTACAACGGCTGCTGCAGTCACCACAGTCATGACGCCGACGCTGGACGTACCCAGACCAGGGATATACCATTGGAGTTATCAAGATGCATTGCACGCGCCTTTCATGAATCCTGGAAGGAACGAGGGTACGGCAGAGGCACGACTGAGGAGAACATCGACCAGGACTTGCGCCAGATGCACATACAGTTGGATGCCGACACCAGGCACCAGCCCTCCAACCAGAGCTTACAACATGCAGAAGAGGATCACTGCCCAACTTCAAGGACCACCGGGAGTGCCAGCCCATGTCCCCCGTGGCGCACCGCGCACGGGACGCCGCTGATGAACTACAACCAGGAGGTTTGAGCGGCGCCTGCGAGACCCCCCGGAGGGAGCGGCGGGGGCCCCCAAGGCCCCATTGCCCTTCGGGGGGTCGTCGTTCGTCCCCTTTCGTCTCCGTCGTCCTCCAGGAATGTTAGTGACGGCGGCGACCTCCCCCCCCTCAGGGCGCGGCCGCGGGCTGCGGTCGCGTCGGCCGACACGACGCGCGTCGCGCAGCGTTGGTGATGATGATGAGGAGGAGGAGGAGGAGGAGGAGGGACCCGCTCCCCCTATGGCGATCCATCCCCGTCTCTCGATCGCACGCCCGCCTCGCCAGGCACGCCCGTGAGCTGCCCGCCGCCCCGCAGCCGGCCCCGTGCCTCGCGGGCGGGCGCTGCGCGCGGGCCCGCTCGCCGCCGCCGAGGGCGCGCGGGTGGCCGTCGTCGTCGTCGTCGTCGTCGTCGTCGTCGTCGTCGTCGTCGTCGTCGTCGCCCTCGGCCTCGTCGCCCTCGGCCTCGTCGTCGATCTCGTCCTCGTCGTCATCGCCGACATCCTCGCCGTCGTCGCTGCCGCCGTCGTCCTTGCTGCTGTCGTCGACGCCGCCCCACCCGCGATGGGGCACGTTCCTCTGCACGTGCGTCCGTGAGCGGCCCGCGTGTGGTCAGGGCTGCGCGCCGACACGCGGCGGGCGAGCCCGTGGGGAACACGCGCGGGTGCACGGCCGGACACGAGCGGGCACGCGCTACGGCGCAGGCCCTGGCAATCTGCAAGCATGCGTGCAGGCGGCCGAGAGCGCCCTGCTCGGGAGTCCCCACCGCGAGAAGGGTGTCGAGGAGGACGCCACGCACCTGAGCAATAGCCAGCAGGGAGGCTTCTGGGAGTGGCTCGCTCGGGAGGCGTGGCCATGGACGGAGCGCAGACAGTGGCGCAGCTGTCGGCGTGACTCCGATGACGTATCCCTCGAGAGGCAAGCCATGAGTCGGCCCGAGCATCCATCGTCATCGTCATTGGCGTCGTCATCTTCGTTATCCATGTCTTGCAAGCGAGTAGCATGTCGCTCCGATCCGCGGGGCGGGAGGCTGGAACAGCTCGGAAAGTTGACGCTTGGGACTAGGGACGTGGATATCGTGTCGCGCCGAAGCGTGGTGGGCCAGAACGGGTGGAGTCACACGCAAGGACAAAGTTCCTGATTGAAAGTGTGCGGCGGCGTGCGCGAACATGTGCACGAGTGTGCACCGTCCGTTGCGTGATAGCGCTTCGTGTGCGGGCAAGAACGGGAAGTGTGGCTGCACGTGCGAGCCAGACCTGCGGCGCATGTGCGGGCATGCCATACAGACTGGTACGGGCCCGCGCGGCTACAAACACGCACGCTCTGGAGTGCTCTCAACAACACTGTATGTTTGGAAACGTACGGGGCTGCGCGGCAGCATGATGTGCGGCAGACGCGTTCCGGCGGCGGGGCCCCAAGCAGAGCGCCGTTCGGCCCGTGCCATGCGCACTCACGCAGAGCATCAACACATCCGCCTCGCGCCCACAAAGCGGAGCCCCCGCGAGGGGGCAGAATCCCAGGCACGCCTCGATTCCAGAAAGGCATCGATCGGGTTGGGGGGATACGGGGCAGGACTGTGTGATAATCACACTCGATATGAACGCTAATGCGGATGATCTGGTCATCTCTCCCAGCCCCATCCACCCAACCCGATGGCTGTCTTTTTTGACGATGGAGGGCGGTAGCGAACAATGGGAGACCCAACATGCTTCGCACGGGAGCCCCAGCCGTGGTGGTACAGATGGTCCTGCCGAGGGCGGAAGGCACGCACACTCAGATGCAGTGCCCCGACGACGCCTCGCGTAGACGGCATGAACCTACGTATCCGCCTGCACACCCTCGCGCGTAACAGCGCACATGCTCACTGCTTCTCCTCATATTTGCTCGACTTCCTGGGCTCCTCCACCTCCTCCACCTCCTCCTCAACCTTCTCGTCATGACCCTCGTGGAGTTCCACAGGTTGCGACAAATCAAACGCCTGCCACCTCGATGTGGATATCCAGAGGCAAGAACAGAGCAGCGTGCTGGAGGCCACGGCTGAAACGGCTGAGGGCCGTTCGGACATATACTGGTTTCATGCTGATCGGGACAACCCCAAACCAAAACCAATGCATACGCATATAAGTATACACATACATGCATCCATCCATCCATCCATCCATCCATCCATCCATCTATCCATCCATCCATCCAGCCATCCGTCCATCCACATATACATACATACATACATACATACATACATACATGCATACATACATACATACATACATACATACATACATACATACATACATACATACATACACACAGACATACATACATACGTACGTACGTACGTACGTACATACATACATACATACATACATACATACATACACACACATACATACATACATACATACATACATACATACATACATACAGACATGCATACATACATTCGTACATCCATCCATCCATCCATCCATCCATCCATCCATCCATACATACATACATACATATACACATACACACATACACACATCCATATATACATACATACATGCATACATATATGCATACATACATTCGTACTTACATACAAACATACATACGTACATACATGCATACATACGTACGTACGTACGTACATACATGCATCCATCCATCCATACATCCATCCATCCATCCATCCATCCATACATGCATACATACATTCACACATACACATATGGACGTACACACAAACATACATACATGCACTATGTAGTTATAGCGTCGTTTATCTCTAACCGTGCTCAGTTCTAATCGTGCTCGTTTCTACTTGTTCCTGGATGCCTAGTGTCCAGGAAGAGGCCCAGGATAGAACAATTAGAAATGAAAGGATCCTGCCCCCCCCCAACAATCAAGTAACGTTCGTACACTTAGAAATAAACAATGTGCACATGTATATGAATTGGCACAGAGGAAGCGAGAACAAGAGAGAGAGATAGATAGAGCAATCTTTACATATTTAGATATACCGATATAACCGAGCGCACATACATATATCGATATATATATATGTATACATATATACATACATACACAAACATATTCACACGATGCACGAACACGACGTGCGCACGCTTCGCGTGCACTTGGGTCCTAGCACGCACCAGCCCTCGACGACAACTCATCTGTACACGCGCAAGACTAAAGAGGTGTGGGTTGAACAGAAGGTGGCAAGGGCACCCGCCGAGGGCCAGGGAAGCCTAACCACAAACCCATCCTTCTTGCCTCCTCCTACTCCTGTTCATCCTCTTTCCCCCTCATTTCTCCCCCCTTTCCATCTCTAACTTCCCGCGCGCATCCGGGTCCATCCATCGCCTTTCCTGATGTCCGTTTCTTCGTACTCCTTCTTACATCCTTCCTCCTCGCTCTTCCACGCATGTTCGCCCATCCTCCCCCTGCCCTCTTCTCTTCAACTCCTGCCTCCCCCCTCATCCACCCCGCCTGCGGCCTCAGATCACCGGATGATCACGTGAAGCTCTCACAGGTCTCATGGGGCGCTTTCGTACCACGCTTGGTCTCTCGCTGGGGCTGCCTGGAATCTGGGGGCTCTTGGGGCCGTCTTTTGGACGTCTTGGGGACTGTCGCCACTTCCGTGGGCTCATGGGAGGTAGAGCGGAGTCGGGGGTCACGCGGGTCTATGTAGCGTGTTTTGTGCGTGGTGTGTGTGTGTGATTGTGTGCGCAAGCTGTGCACGTCGGGGCTCGATTGTGCGAGGATGTCTCTGGCGAAACGGCTTGTTTAAAACAATCGTGTTCAAAAGGGGCTCGATATTTGAAGGATGCCTCAAGCGGAACTGACATGTTCGAGAAATGAAGATCCAAGTCATAGAGGATGTTTTGTTTAGATGTTATATCTTGAAAATGTTGACAACCCCATCTGTCTTTTAACGGTGACGACGCGACCTGCGTGCGGGGTGCGTCCGATATTCAAAACGTTAAGGACGTCCAACACAAAACGGCCAAAACAAGAAACGCAACTTCATAAGATATCGCCTCTGAACTCTACACCCTCGGAGAGGCGCGTATGACAATACATAAATGCATCGAGTTACATACTTGTACGTATGTATTCAAAGACCTGCAGATCAACCTGTGTATATATATATATATATATATATATATATCCCACCAGCCCTTTAGGGCGTAGGTGGTCTAGGGAGTTTCCTCTGCCAACCCCCTTCTTCCCCTTCGGGGAGGGGTTTACCCCTCCCCTTACCCCTCCCCACTGACCTGGACGGGGCCGGTCGCGAGGTGTCAGAGCGTCCAAGATGGCCCAAGACAGCTCCAAGAGCGAACAGGCGAGAAAACACAAAACATTGATTTTACCTAGGTTTTGGAAGGATTTTGGCATCTTGGGGGGGCCCAAGAGGCGACTCGAGGCACTCTGGAGGGGCGGGGCTAATAAGCCCCCCCCCTTCTTTGATAGATCTCCTCCAAGATGGCCCAAAGAGCGCCCCGAAGGCTCCCAAGAGCGCCCCAAGAGCGCCTCAAGAGGGCCCCAAGAGACCCCAAGAGGCCCCCAAGAAGCCTCCAAGACGTTGCCAAGAGACCCCCAAGAGGCCCCAAGAGAGTCCAAGATGACCCAAGACGGCTCCAAGAGCGAAAAGGCGAGAAAGCAACAAATATTGATTTTACCTAGGTTTTGGAAGGATTTTGGCCTCTTGGGGCGCCCAAGAGGCGACTCGAGGCACTCTAGAGGGGCAACGCTAATTGGGGACCCCCTCTTCTCTGATCGATCTCCTGCAAGATGGCCCCAAGAGCGCCCCGAAGGCTCCCAAGAGCGCCCCAAGAGCGCCCCGAGAGCGCCCCAAGAGGCCCCAAGAGGCGCCCAAGAGGCCTCCAAAAGGCTCCCAAGAGACCCCCAAGAGGCCCAAGAGGCTCCCAAGACGGGTCCAAGAGCGAAAAGGCGAGAAAACAAAAAACATTGATTTTACCTAGGTTTTGGAAGGATTTTGGCCTCTTGGGGGGGCCCAAGAGGCGACTCGAGGCACTCTAGAGGGCAGCGCTAATTGGGGACCCCCCCTTCTTTGATAGATCTCCTCCAAGATGGCCCCAAGAGCGCCTCGAAGGCTCCCAAGAGCGCCCCAAGAGCGCCCCAAGAGGGCCCCAAGAGGCCCCAAGAGGCCCCCAAGAGGCCTCCAAGAGGCCCCCAAGAGACCCCCAAGAGGCCACAAGAGGCTCCCCGAGATACGCAAGAGGCCCCCGGGACCGCCAAGAGGCCCCAAGGACGGCCCAAGAGGCCCCCAAGCTCGCAATTGTCCTCCTCCTCCTCCTCCTCTTTTTCTTCCTCCTCCCTCCTCCCC